TACATGTAAAGTGTGATTGATGCTCAGTCCGTCAAAAATCTACTATTTGTTATAGGGGCCTACTTTAGCTTTCTTCCTAGTGGGGTTCCCATAGAGCTACAGGAAATGAACGTTCCCTCGCACCATGTTGTAAAATCTCGGGCTACCGAATCCTTAGCCAGACGGAATTTAGGTGGAGCAACGCATCTTGATGTTTTAATGTCAAAACGTTGACATTTATCATCACTCCTGAGAGCACTCCGCCGTCCTGTCATTTACGAGAATGATTACTTATCTCAGATGTCTTCCTGTTTTGCTTCGGAGGCTGTCCGGTTGAGATGAGACATAATCTATCACCTCTTCCGACGTGTGACTCTATGTATATTGTTATTACTTCTTGTTTTTCTATCGGGGTATTTTTGAATAAGACGACGAGAAACACAAACATACCCGACGAGAAACACAAACTGCGCAGTGCCGCCTCCTTTCCCATACGAAAAGGAGTGAAAAGTAACAAAGACACCTCGTTCTTTTCGTTGCGAGCCCCGAGTACTCTTGTTGTTTATGGCCCATTTGCCTCAGGCGGCATTATACTGCACCACGTCTGTCAGTTTTGATCCTTCGTATTCAGATGGACACTAACGGTTGAGTGAATAAAGCCCCGGGCGTGACGCACCCTGTGTGTGGTCTATTCTCCGACGAAATGGGCGTCAGTTACTTGCTTCTGTGCGCGCACGTTTTATTTATTTATTTTTTTCCTCCAGCGTACTATACAAGACTGTTTGAGACGTAACAGGTGAACTAATGTCATCTTCCCATATGGGGACGATGCGGCAAGCTGTGGAAGCCCATGCGTGTTCCTCGCGTTGTTTGTCCGGGAACTCACCTAACACCTATCTTTAGCTAGGCCAATCCAGTATATCGTACAAGGCACGACAGAGTTGGCACGAACACAGCATCGACGCGTTCTCACACTTTACTTGAAGGGGGTATGGCAGGAATCACTATTTAACGCATTCACTTATTGCCACAAATTGCAACTTTTCACCAGTCTAGTATTTTTTGATGACACAGCCCTTCGATTCCAAGATAAAAGCAGGCGAACTCGTCGAACGCCTGGTCGTGCTAACAGCGTTGCGATGTGTACACAAGGCTTTCCATCCTCATTGTTCATTGTTAATCCCATTCGAACGTACACACATTTTGCAATAAACAAATCTCGTTACCCCACAGGTGTGAACGGTACTAGGGCGCCACCGAAGAATTTCATCGCCGATGCCATAAAACATATCAACGGACGTTTCTTTAAACCACAAAATAGCAACCTTTACGTTTTTTTTATAAATTTCGAGCACTCATTACAGCGTGTAACCGAGAACAAGAAAGGAAGGACGTATTGAGAAATTAAGACGTAAATATTTGAACGCTGCACATTCCGTGATAAGCATAAAACATGGCGGGCTTCACCACACCAGTTCCACACACTGTTGTGGGGGGCAGGGGCCCGTACTCGTGCTCTTAGAAGGTTAGTCCGTAGCGCGAGTACTCGTGCTAACGATGCATTTCGCGGAACTTGGCTTGCGTGCACGTGCAGCACGAGCGTGATGCTATAGCTTTGGCAGTGTCGGGCTCGCACGTCCTTGCTCGCACAAGTAGAGCAAAGACGGTGGCCGGTTTGTTGATCGGTGCGTGTCTTTTTGCCGGCGGTAAAACCTGATTCGCATGGGCGACTTTACTTGCTATTGCACAGTTGCGGCTAGAGCCACTAAATGAGCTGCGCTTAGGGTATCGGCACTCCGTTCCCCGACATTGTTGTGGGCGCCGCCATTTTGGGGCTTGTGCAGAGCAGACGCAACTGCCGTTCGTCTTGTTTCAGAAGTGCGACTTCCTCAGCGTTATATTCGGTGTTAGAAAGCTCCTGTAATATTGATTTGCTCTGTTGCGAACTGTTTAAACATTTGTGGAAGACGGAAAAGCGTTTCTTGTGATTTCAGATAGAGCTTCAGAAAACTGGGAGCCATGATTTTAAGCCACAATATGGCCAAGTGTCGTTACTCTGAAGCGTAGCTTATTTAGTGGCACTAGTTGCGGCATCGCTCGTGTGGCAGAAAAACATAATGGAGGCTGCGGTGATCGACGTCGCAGTTGAAAAATCGCAAGTGAAATGGCAAGCAAAATAGCTTTATGTGAATCGGGCTTGAGATGGATTTTTTTGTGACGTGGCCAGCTCCGTGTTGAAAACAAATACCTGTGACCTAGCATTACTGAAACGTTTCTGCGAATATCTGTCCTTCCTTCGAACTTAGAAATCCGATTCAGATAACAAAAAAACAGATGAAGAGACTAGAAATGTTGGCTTAAAGAAACTGCCATACTGTATGCTGACTTTAAGAGCAGCGCGTGAAGTTAGGGTTGGCGATGGTTGTGATGAGCGAAAACTAAAGACAAACAGGCAATTGGTGTTTATATGAATTGTTAACGCAATTCATATAAACACATAAGAAACATTACGTCTATTTGTCCCTGTAGTGAAAAATTAAATGTAAAAAAAAGTCCGTGTGGTCGAGTTTTTAAACAGATGAGATTTTTTTTTTTGCTCGAGCCGAGAAAGTTCGAGCTTAGAATTGGGTTCAGAAATAAAATTTCGCATTACTATATTTTCGCGTTTCTATGTCAATTGTATTATACATTCACGTTATTTAACCACTATGGCGTGCCCAGAAAACCTATTGTTTCTAATTTCAACAAACAATCCGCGTCTGATGTGTTTATAAAAATTGCTTTGGCAGACGCGATCGTGCGTGTTTCTAATTTTTCTTAAATTTTCGCTAAAACAATCTTTGTCAACCACAACTAAGCATGCGGCTGCCAAAGTAGGTGGGCACGCTTCATTTTTGTTATATTTCAGATCTCTTAATTCATATGTTTTGTGCGAACCGAATGTCATTTTTAACATCAAAAGGAGAGCAGATATAGTCAGCTATTTGTTACTAATTTCTTGTCCCCACGAAGCTGGTGAAGGGTCACGAAGATTCATCATACCCACCGGGAAAAATACCTACATTGATCAGCAAACAGGCCCTCCGTCCTGTTGTTTTAAATGGAGAGCATTGCACATAACTTCCAATGGACCATCGAAACAGGACACCCTTTCTGCTGTGTACGGCAAAAATAGCGTGCACACTACTAAAAGATAATAATAATAATAATAATAAAAAAATGATTGACAACGTTTCGGAGCACGCGTCCGTTTTCGACGTCACAAGAAGTAACGAGCTAGAGGTCCTTAGAGCGTTGAAGGCGCCCTGCAATCATATTTAAGCGTCTATCTTTTTAACGGTTGCCACGTCTCTTGGGGTTCGGGCAAGCCAGCGGGCACGGAGAGAGTAACTAAATATCAGTGCGTCATATTTTAACCGGACGACGCGGAAACCTCCTTTACCTACGGGGGCGGTGCCGAAAGCACGCGATATGTGAAGCCTTTGGTCCTGCCTTTACTACTTTTCAAAGCAACTAAAAGCTTTTTTTTTTTTTTTTTTTTTGTTTAAATACAAAGTAAAAGTGGGCGAACCGTTTCAATTATATATGAAAGTAGTTTTGTACACTATTTTAGACCAGAAAATAAACAAATGCAGTTTACAAAATACGAAATCAAGAAATGACCCGTTGACATACCCGCCACTAGAAAGGGGTAGTGGAATCAGGCGCCCACGTGCGGCGAGCGTAGAAAGGTCCCGGATGTAAGCGGCAGCACTGCGGTCGTATACAGGCTCGAGGATCCGATCGGTTCCGAGCGTTCCGAAGGCCATCGGCGAGCAGGTTTGGCTTGCGGTTCGGCCGTTTGGCGGTATGGCAGTGCAAAGTGGATCCCGTTCTGAACTGATCTTTATCCCGTGTTTGCTGTCGTTTGTGTCCAATGAAGTGTCATGCCGAATTAGTGTTTAGTCGCCATAAAATGCAATGCGAGCCACCCCGGCCGCCCCCTTCATCCAGCCTATCCAGCACATGCTTTAGTGGCGCCCTCTCGAGCCGTCGACACGGAGTGCGGCAGCCGTGAGCACTCGCGGAGCTCACTACCCCTCTTCTAGTTCACAGCCACTCAAGCCACGACCAAGGACGTCATGAAGAAGGTTATTTTTTTGCTTGTTTTTGTAATTCTAATTTGCCTATAACTCTTAAAATAAAGCGGAATTCGACAAAAGAAAAGTTAGTTACTATACGTTCAGAGCGCCCAGGGTCGGTGCAAATTAAAAACCAGTCAAAAAGTCGTTGCAGGGCCCCCTTTCAACTGGCAGCTGAAAGTGACCTCGATTGGACGCCGCCATCTTGCACATTTTTGATAATTAGACACGTGACCTTATAGTTTATCGTCTAGATATTAACGAAGAGGTGCGCACAAATAATTGCTAATTGATTTTTAATGACAGTACCGACGAGATAAGTTATATTTCGTTTGTTCTAAATCAAAAATGTGCTTTTACGACAAAAGCTTGGGCAGCCTCGCAATGCCTCCGCTAGATGCCGTCAGCCGCGGTGCTGTATTTTGGGTTTGTATCGGAGATAGACACTGATCTTTGCAGCTAGCAGTATTCAACAAATGGTTGCTCATGTTTTTTTTTTTACAGCGATCGCGATAGAAATCTCGACTCAGTTTTGCTTAAAAGCCACAGGATTTGATACCGTCACGTGTCTAGTGGTCAAAATTGTACAACATGGCGACAGCCAAGCACTTTTTCCTGGTGAACGGGATACCAGCTTATCGCTCTAAGCCCCTCTACCTCCCTGCAAAGGAGCCGCGCCGTTTTGCGCAGAGCATTCTGAGTTGTCCTCACTGAAGCGTACGTGCGCGCTAAAATGTTCACGTTTCTTTTTTTCTTTTTAATGCGTTTGCGTTGTTTTTTTTTTGCCGTACAAAGCAGAAAGCGTCCCCTGTTTGGCCAGCCGTCGAGAACTCAGATGCAGCAATGTCCGTGCGCGCACAGGTTAATCCGTCGAAAATGGCCCCGCGAACATTGCCTCACCTGGAAAAGATGTTCTTGCAGGGGTCCGGGTAGCACTTGGTACCGAATTCGGTTACGACGGGGCGGTTGACGGTGCTCATCTTCTTGTAGGCCTCGGAGTCCAGGTACCGGGAACTGTATCGAACCTGGGAAGGTGGACAGATAAGTCAGGTGCATTCTCTCTTTAGTCAGGTACGTACACTCGTACACATTGATAGTTTGTAAGGCGAACACGACACCGGTGCTTTTCTGCATTTTGCTCCAACGGAGTATTAAGGGACACTGAACTTCGCCCCTTAGGTTAATGCCCTAAATAGGCACGTTCGGCCGCTAGGTTTTATGGCAGCTCTTTAATTTTAAAAGAAAAACGAAAAAAGGAAAAACTGTCGATCATTATAGTCAGTGACAGGTTAAGAGTTCGGGGGAAGCTCCTTCCACCTCTTCCCACTTCAGCAGAACGAGCGCTGGAGAGGAATCAACTTCCTCTCCAGCGTTCGCTCTGCTAAAGTGGAAAGGGGTCGGAGGAGCTTCCCCCGAACTCTTAACCTGTCACTGACTATATATAGTTCGCCTTAACAGTGTCGCGCTGTGTACATGCGATAGTTAATAATCTGCCCTACAAAAAAAAAGTGACAGCCGTTCTTTTGATAATTTTCTAACGAAGCAACATTCAGCCATAGCTTGGAACTAAAACAAGTATATATATATATATCAGGATGAAAAAGAATATTTTTAGCTAGATTTATTTTATTTAAATCAGATTAATGTTATTTAAATCACTGTAGCTAGATAACAGTGACTCTTTATCAGAACATATATTTTTAAACATGGGGGATTTATCGATTCCTCCGATCACTGGTAACGACGCGGAAAAAACAGTTACCGTAAATTTAAAGTACAGTTTAATTGACGACTTTTTATTTACGAAACCCCCGCCCAACTATACTCCATTTACCCTTAAGCTGAGAAGCTCCGCCTTTTGCGTGAGATTTCTGCTCTTGCTAACACAAGTGTGGACGCGCAGGCACGCGCAACCGAAGCACTGCGGAAGCCAGCGATTTCGCGCTGAAGGCGGAGCTTCTAGTATCAGCGTAAAAAGCCCCCGAAAAAAAAAACATTAAACAATCTGGTTGGGATACGCGTGTCATAAAATTAATTTTACGCAAAAAAAAAAAAAAAAAACTTACACCAATATTGTCAGTGCGAGACGCGACTTAGTCTGCAGTCACCTCCTTTCCACTTCTTTTCTCTCTCGACATTTCGGGCACGTGGAAGAAAGGTGGATCGGCTCGGCCATCACGTTGAGGTGGAAAGATAGAGAGTGTATCACTATTTCGTTGAGGTGGAAAGAGTGTATGACCATTCGGTGACGTCATGGACTTGGCGCGCAGAGTTCAAAATAAACCTTGCGTCGTCAATATTGTTCTAATTTTTTTTTTTTTTTTGCGTGTAAAATTAATTCTTTGAACCACGTGTCTCAACCAGACTGTTCAAAAAGTTTTTTTTTCTTTTTAGGGGTCTTTTAAGGCATATACTCTAATACATGCCCGTGCATCTACTTTCCCGCACAACATTCAGAGAGCCAATCACCGCAACTTACGGAGGCAGCTTAGCGAATGACGATGACGAAACATATGTTTAGGCCAAGAAACGCAGTCTGAGTTGTGACATTAAGCAATGCAAAACGTCACGTTTGCTTAATGTCACAACTCAGACTACGTTTTTTGGTCAAAACACGTGTTTCGGCATCGTCATTCGCTGAGCTTCCTCCGTAAGTTGCGGTGATTGGCTCTCCGAGTGTTGTGCGGAAAAGTAGACGCACGGGCTTTTTTTTTTTTTTTGTAGATTGTAGAACAAAAACAAGGGATAGTTTTTACTTAGCTGGAAAGCTTAATTACCATTATGTTGTTTTCTGACTTGCTTGCACTAAGATATTACTTTTCTGATTTTTGTTTATTTCTTTCGCGTTCTTATTTGTTTGATATGAACAACGGGAGAGGCTAACAAAATAGAAGGTAGAACGAACGCTTTGCGTGCAAGTTCATATGGTCCTTGCGCATCTCGTGCATTTGTTTACACCCCAAATGCGCCCACGTGCGTTTGTCCCCCCCCCCCCCCCCCCCCCCCCCTACCTCCGCCACTGGTGGTGGGAGCATGGCGACCTCGTCATCGTGCGTTATTTCCGCGTTCTATAGATGTTTCCCTTTGATTGGTGTGCACCTCTTTGCGTTGCGGTGCTCCAAAGACGTCTTTTAGAACACTGGTCTGCCGTATTTGCTCGGAGCAGCTCCGCTTCCTGCTCGTGTTCAGCCTCATATAAATCTTCTCACTTGGTGATTCTTCGACTTTAGTACAAAACAAATGCACTTTGAAAAGTTCAATTCAAAGACAAAACGGTAAAAAAAACATTTCCAGGTTATTTTTGCGGGAAAGATTTCATGTAAATCATCGTAGGGAAACTGGTCCGCTTTATATCGTACGATTTGAATCATGTTGATTTTTGTTCTCCACTCTAATTTCTTGAGAGATTCGGATGTTTTTTTTGTTTTTGTTTAATGTGCCAGCCGATTATTTTAAATGTTACGAATAATAAGAGAAAACCTGCTTTTAGTACCTAAGAAGCTTTCTAGTCATTTATGTTTTATAGAGGAATATTAGATGTACGGAAAAATCAAACTCTATATAAAAAATAAAAAAAAAAACAATTCATAAAGTCCACTTTGCGCAAAAAAAAAAAGCAGAAGTAATTTAGTTTAGAGTTCCACCACCGGGACTATATGTCTTAAAAATGCATTAAGTGCCTGCAGTTGTTGTGCAGGCGCATTGGACGACACAAACACGTATCTCACATTAAGATATACATTTTGCGTAAGACCACGTATGTTCCCGACTTCCAAAAACTGGATGTTCTCGTCTAGCAACTGTTCATTTGTGTTTCGGTGCTGCACTTCAAAGGGCGTAGTGAAAACGTTTAATAACATTGCGGTTTGAATAAGTTTGGACATTCAGGAAACCCCGATGACGAGTACCTCTGGGATTGACAGTTCTTAACGCCGCTATTAATTTATTCTTTTTTTTTTGTACCCCAAATTATTGACATTTAATGGAATGTTTTGTAGCACCAAGAACGACGAGGGATAAGAAGTTCGCTTTTTCCCTACCCTTTCAAAACGCGGCACGGAAACTTGTGATGGGCGCCGTCTTCGTCGGATTACATTTCTGCAAACACGTGTCTAAAAGTTTAAATTTGTCGCGGTGCCAAGCATTTAAAGGTCCGGACCGTACAAGGATTTGTTTTTCAAGGTCGTTCATTAAGACGAGACGTCATGAATTTTATGAATGGCAGTTTATGTTAATGGTGATTTTTCGAGCGCTCAGAAATTGGCAGTTTTTTAAGATGTGCTGCGTATATGAATTATCCGAGGGAACTACGCACCTGGGGCGGACTGGGCATCGAACGTGTACTGTGCACCGGGTACAGGAAATTGAAAATACAACAACGGGGCGAACATTTCTTTTCATATAATTTTATTTATTTTCTCTCAGGGCCCGAAGGCATTACAAGCAGCAGTGACACACACAAAAAATAAGTATAACAAGAAACGAGGCAAAAATAGAAATAATGGCTAAGGAAGAACAAGAAAATTAGTAATCGCAATTTTAAGATCAGCAGTATTAGTCACTGAGACTATGGGTGCGGGAAGGCGATTACAATCTATAGAGGTTTGAGGGAGAAAGGAGGCATTAAAAGAGGAAGTGTTACAATGGGGGAGGATTATCCTTAACTAGTTATTTATTCGGGATGAATGTAAGATGGTTCTTTAAATAATGTTTCACGAAGTGTGGGATTAAAGTGATAAATCTCGTAAAAGACATACACGAGATCATTTTCTATGAAAATAGAGGTTAGTTTAAGGATAATGATGCTTTCATAGAGGTGACCCTGGCTGTGTGATAATAGTTTGAAAGAATAAAACGGGAGGAACGATTCTAAAAGGACTCAACAGCAGAAGCAAGGGCGATTCCGGGGTTCCAAATAGACGCTACACATTCCAGTTTATAGCGAACTAAAGTTTTGTATAATAGAAGCTTTACAGACAGGAGTTAGCAAAAAGGTCCTTTGAGATAGCCTAGGAATTGATTATCGATTTTAGTAACATATTCGACACGGCAATTCCAGGCGAGGTTATTGGCCAGATGAACGCCAAGATATTCATAGGAGGAAACATAAAGCAGAATTTAATTATTGATGTGGTAGGAAGGACAGGTGTTATTTTTACAGGACACTCATCAATCTGCATCTAGAAATGTTAAGTTCCATGAACCAATCTGCACACCATGCAATGAGTGACATTATTAATATCAGTTTGAAGGCGGAGATGCCAGAATCGTTAAGAATTTCTTTATAAATACCACAATCGTCAGCATACAGGCGTATGAAAGAGGAGATGCGTGTAGGAAGGTCATTAATATAAATAAGAAATAAGAGTGGGCCGAGTAAGGAACCTTGTGGAGCACCGGAGCTAACGTGCGAGTGTGATGAACTGGTTTCGTTAGCCTGAACAAATTAGGTGCTGTTTGCTAGAAATTATTTTATCTAAGAGAGTACATACAATCTATGTTTAGGTTATGAAGTTTAAGAAGAAGCACACGAGGAACCTTGTAAAAAGCTTTGAAAACAATCTCGAAATATGCAGTCAGTCCCGGAACCCCGGTCCAGAGCGACGTGAAGGTCATGAGGGAAGTTAAAAGTTAGGTTTCACTTGAATAAAATTTACGGAAGCCGTACTCTGCAGAGGTGACGAAAGATCTTGAATCCAAAAAGTTTAATAGGATTGGAATGAATTACATGCTCAAAGATTTTGCACGGAATGCTAGTTAACGAGATAGAACAAAAATTGAAAGGATTAAGTTTTTCGCCGCCTTTGTGTAAAGAAACCGCCTGCTACTTTGTAGACTTGACCAACAGCTTTTGCGATAAGAAAAATTCAACTGAGCTATATTTCTTTACGCCGTATTCAGTCCTAACAGATGAAACGCCATGCTACTCTTTTTACTAGAACAAGACAACAGGCAAGAGATCTACAGAAATCTGAGACTGCTTCACTTACCTTTACAGGCAAGAGCCGAGTGCAGCCTTTGGAAAACTGGTCGTACAAAATGGCAGAAAATAAACCCAAGACGTTACTCGCTAAAGGCTGGTTCACACTTTTACAACCGAGTACGGCAGGGAGAGACAAGACCGGTTTTTAAGCCTCTTGAGACGTCTTAGGACCGAATGCACTGCTACGGAGCTGGTCTTAAGACGTCGTAAGAGGCTTAAGAACCGGTCTTGTCTCTCTCGGTCGTACTCGGTTGCAAGAGTGTGAAGGAGCCTTTAGACGGTATGTGAAGGCCTTTCTTCTGATGCTACAGCCAACATTGAGATGTTGGGTTCCAAGCCGGTGCTGCAACATTCTAGTTGTTCCTACTTGAAATGCCGTAAACGCGCGTAAAATATTAAAGAAATGTATAAAAAAATTACAATTCGCACGATCCCGAAGAACGCGAAAGGAAGCGAGTATGAGTTTTTCCCTACCTATTGTAAATTATTGAGTTGATAAAGCCTTATTCGTGGCATTAAGCTATGAATCTCCAAGGCGGCCTTAAGAGAGGATGAGTCTTGGGTTGTGAAAGAACGCCAAAAAGCTGTTTTTGTGAAAATTATGTTTTTACGCGCTTAGATTGCAAAGCGCTTTTTTGCAGACTGCCATTACGCCAATGTCAAATTGCATCGTAAAATTTATCCATGCTCTGTCGAAGAGAAAGTATTGATGGACTGATACACTGTGCGATTTGCCATTCGGGACGTGAAGGACTGTCCAAGGAGAGGCTTCGGAATGTTGTTTTAGGTGGCGAATCTAAACTTGGTAATGTTCGATATGGGTTTATGCTGTTGATGCTATTTGTTTACCTCCATACTCGTTTTTTTATTTCTCCAAGGTGGAGACACCAGTGCCATTTCCGGAGAGGCGCAAGTGAAGAATAGGAAAGTTGTAGAGTGCAGTCATCCACGTAATGGACTGAAAGGTACCGGTGCGAACCCGTAGATTCACAAGCTTATTGTCACACTTTTTGATCAAAAGCAAATTGCATCCATGGAAGTAAAAAGCCATCATTAGTTGTAAGAAAAACAGAATTGACAGCGACCTTTATTTTTAAAGTCCTCTACTAACGGAATGTAGTAATTAACAAGTGATCGCATAAATCTCTTTATAAGACATTAAAAAGTCATTTTGGGTAGGGAAGAAGTATTTATTGTTTGCTACTATATTATTATCATTAATAATATTGTTATTATTATTATTATTATTATTATTGTTGTTGTTGTGGTTGTTGTTCTTGTTTTTGTTGTTGTTAGTAGTAGTAGTAGTGGTAGCAGTAGTGGTAGTACTAGTCGTAAATTTAGTGGAAATATGCGCGGACGGACGGACGAACGGGCGAACAAATTTCTTGGATAAGGGGGTCTGTTAAAAATCCCTCTGTGCTTTTCAAAGCGAGCGTTTCCAGTTTCGCGTTTGTTGTGAAATTGCGCGGCCATTGCTTTACAGTCTGCTGAGACAAGGGAAACCCGCTGCGCCCCCGTGGAACCCCAGCTCGGTGACACCCGCTCCCGACCGCCTCACCTTTCCCTTGTGGACGTCGTAGGCCGAGAGGATGGCAGCCCCGTCGAACCAGTGCCGCAGGGAGAAGCCGCCGCCCAGGTCCCACTTGCCGGGGCCCAGTCGGTACAGCTTGCCGCTCACCCACTCCGGGATCTGACCTGCAGCCGGAGAAGGAGGGGAGGGGACTGAGTCAATGAGCGTAACGACTGAGTCAATCAGGCAGTGTCAAAAGTGCATCGTCACGGCGTTTGTCGTCTTTGTGCGCTCGCTGAACATCGACTAAATCATGCACAGAAAGAAAACGTGCGCATTCACTGCGCGGTATTGGTTCAGTTGGTCATAGGAAACGCAGAAGAACAATGCACATCGTGACGATGCGGCGCTGTTTGGTCCGTTCCATTGAATTATACGGTCGGCGGCGATCGAACTTAAGGGGAAACTGAGCATAGAGTCGCCTAATGCACCCGGAGTACCACCAATTTCAGAGCTTGGCCAGCTTGGCTTCAAAATTGCGTCGTGGCGCTGATGTCGACGGCTTCAATATGGCGGTCCAGTGTAACTGAATGCAAGTGAGATAGAGCTAACTCAGCCCGCTCACCAGCAGTATAATGCAGGCCAGTGCTCCGCTTCCGCGGACTATAGATCATGGGCTGCTTGGCGTGAGAAGCCCTCCGAAAACCAAAAGGGCATATTCCTCTCTGACCTGTGCGTAATGCACGAGCTGCTTGGAATTAGCGCTTATCGAGTAATGGTTTTAAACTAGCTTTAACGTAGAATTGTACGCTTGTAAAGGCGAACTCGGATTTTAAGAGGTTCGCCGCAAGCGTCGCGCTGCAGAGTAAAAAGTATAGTAGATTTCATACCAGCAGCCCCCACACATTCGCTTCGCGAACGAACTGCGCGTCTCCCGGTCGAGTCGCCAAACAACTTCGGCGCAAACCAACCGCTCAAAATTCGAACGTGTCGCATATCTGCACGGTATGAGTCGCCCCCCACGACCTTTCCTCGCCCTTCGCTTCAATCTTTATATTGTTCTCTTTACCACGTGCATGCGTTTTGTGGCGCGGAAGAAAAAAAAAAAGAAGCGGCAGAAACGGAGGATGCGGAGAAGCTTTGAAAAGACATATGGCGGCGCGTCTCAGGAAGGACAAATATTGATGTCGGCATCCGCTGCGTTCCCCATAAAACGCGCTTCGCCGATAGATCGTAACGCGGCTGCCAATGTTTTCCCTTGATTTTTATGCCGGATTCCGAATGCCCGACATCAGCCTGGTTGGATCGGTTCTCCCGTTTGAGCGGACTTTTTCTCCACTCTGCGACATTCAGTGGATCTTGTTCGTACACAAGGCGCCTTCAGTCTGCCGAAGATGAGTTCACTACGCAAAAAGTGATCGTAATCCAGGCGGTGAATGCGCCGTATTTTAATACCCCCCGCTCAGAAAGTGTGCTCAACTGTTTAATATAACGCGGGAGCGGTGGCCAGAGGGACTGCATGCGGCATCTGCCGGCTCAATCTGGCAGCTCATGCCGCTGTTGTCGTTTAGAGTTACACTCCCAGCTCTGAAATAATCACCAATGCGTGACTCGGCGAAAAAGAAAAAAGGCCGCTCCTCGATTTTGTGTTTCGTTGTTTAAAGAAGGTGGCATTTATCTCATTTATCAGAGTAACTGCAAGATCACCGAGATATGGTAGCCCCGCATGGTAAATGCGTATAGGTCTGACTAAACAGAGTGGAAAAAACAAAAAACAAAAAAACAAGTAAAATTAAAAAGCGTGGGTGATAAAGAAAGAAACCAGGAGGTCATGCGATGATTGTATCGGGGAGTGGCGACCGACAATCGCAACAGCCGCCTCATTCTCTGCCGCATCATTGATTTAATCGCTAGACAGCTCACGGTCGCAAAACTCGTCAAACACAAAGTTGGGGCCCAAGTCGATGGAGCGCACCGATTGGCCGATCACAACGATGACTTCGCGCTTTTTTCGCCGACGTCCAATCGGCGCGTCCCGCGAACTTTTGGCTCCAACTTTCTGTTTCACGAGTTTAGGGCCCCTGATATCAGCTGCGGCCACCGCTCCCGCGTTATATTTAACAGTTGAGCACACTGTACGTGCATCTTTCGACGCCGTGATCACGCTCTTCTCCCGCCTTCTCTACGCGCAGAGAGCACAATTGGGTGATAAAAAGGGGCCACGTGGTTCATGGATGTGCTAAGTACGTAGCTCTCCTCACCGCGGTGTCAGCCAAAACCCTTACAAAAACGGGTCTCAACATTCTTTTTAATTTTTTTAGACTTCTTATTGACTTTCCGCGATCCTACTGAATTCCTTTATAAACGCACTTTGTTTTGACTATTGTCAAAAAACTTTCAAAAGAAAAAATATTGAATTTTTTTGTAGACTTATTTATAAAAAAATTAAGAACTTGTTAAGACGTTTCTCTATAGGATATTTTCTAAAAAAATTCAAAAGGAAAAACAATAGATTTTGTTTTGTAGACTTATTTATAAAAAAATTAAAAAGAACTTGTAAAAACGTTTTTCTGTAGATTATTTTCTAAAAAAATTCAAAACGAAAAACAATAGATTTTGTTTTGTAGACTTATTTATAAAAAAATAAAAAGAAGTTGTAACAACGTTTTTTGTAGGTTATTTTCTAAAAAAATAAAAAGAAAACCTATTGACATTATTTCTTTATAATATTTTATAAAAATATATACATTTTTTTATTATTTTATTTGGTCTGCGGTCGTGTGCGGGGTCCGATCTGAGGGATGTTTTTTTTTTACTTTTTATTGAAAATGTGTTGACTTCTTGTTCACTTTGATTACTTTATTTTGACTGACTTCCTGTTGACATGGTCAACAGAAAGTTTGTTGATTTTGTGTTGAAACTTTTTTTATGATTTTCTTCTGCCTGAGTCAAAAGAAAAGCTATTGACTTTCTATTAACTCTACGTTGGATCTTTTTCTGTTGACTTCCTGTTGAAAGTGTTATCATACTGGAGACGTTCTATTTACTTCGTGTTTAAATTATTCAGTTGAGTTTCTGTAGCCAGTGTCAAAAGAAAAGCTACAGACTTTCTGTTGACTTGTTATTCAACATGATACATCTTGACTACATGTCAAAAGTCACTAAGTTTCTCAATAGTCTCTGACAAGTTGAGAACCGTAGGGAGGAGCTTCCGTTCTCCTGCCTTCAGCGCGAGCCTTCTGTCCTTGACAACTCTTCGACGTCTCGCGCCCCTCGAGCTCGACTCCGCAGTCAAAGCACGACGGAAGGCATGGGGCGCGTGCTGGAGGCCAGGCGTTCGAAAAACACGCCCTGTCGTTCTCACTTTGTAAATGACTATCGTTGCATTATTGACCCTATTCAGCTAGTAAAGAAGAGCAAAATAACTATTTTAAAGTGGAGCATTTGCCTTGACTGGCTTCGTCCCGAGTGGTGCTATGCAGAGAAGCGATAACATTTGTTCTATGAGCCGTTTTTGTGGATGTTGTTTTAGCGACTACACGAAATTATTATTAGTTGTACCAATGCTTTTTAGTAAGAGATAGAGTCCACGAACTTCGAAACACTGTCTCTCCTTTGACAGACTTTCGAGAAGGAGACCGGAGACTTGGAAACTTAATAACTGCTGAGGTGGTCACCGGCCAAATGATTACCTTCAATATGTAGGCTATATAAGGCTCTGGTGCTGTCAACAGGACTGTGTTTCTGATGTTGAGTGCTTGATGGTGTTGGTGTTCGTTTACATTGCTTATTTGTGGGATGTGTATGTATCAAAAAGACACTATTTCCTAACGAAATTTAAAAAAAAAAAAAAATTAAAAAATTTAGTGTTTTTTTTAAACGTTAATCAGAGGTTTTGTCAAAAGGAATTCAACAAAATTTCTGTAAGATGGAATTCAAAAGAATGTGTGTAAGAAGGAATTCTAAAAAATTTAAGTGGCCAATTTTAACTAGGAGTTAAATAAGTTGTCAAAACAAAGTCTAATAAACATAAAAAAGTTTAAAAAGAAATTCAATACGACTCCAAAAATTTTCAACAAAAATTCAAAAGAATTTAACTACAGATTTTCGTAAGGGAAAGTCGCAGTTCCACTGGCCACGCATCGTACAAACGATGTTCACTGCAGACAAGGTGCCAGAATAAGCTGCAGACAGGCGTTAAGCATCTTCGACACATGTTTACTTAAGCACGTTACTTCGAGCAGGTCTGCAGACAGTTTTTGTGTGACCATTGTGATGTCATAGGAAAAAGAAGACCTCAGAGAGTTTCTGCAGTCTGTCTTTTGTGCGATGTATATCAGCAGGGCGACCGCTGCTCTAAGGACTGATCAGTAGTCGCCGGCGGACACCTATCTTAAAAAAGGTGAACACGCCCCGCTGGGTTCCAGGACCAGAGTCAGTGAAGGTTTTCCTAAACCTATTTTACTCGTGCGCGCCATCTTTAGCCTGGCGGCTATTTTGCGCGTAGTTCTCGGGGTGAAACGGGGATAGGTCTGGATACTCTCTCGTTCTGCATTCCCCACGAAGTGCGGAGTTACTTTACACTCAGGAGTGACTCGTTCTGATGACTTGTGGCATTGCACGTTCCTGGCGACCCAACACGCTATATGGAAAGAGAGATTCCATTCTCGGGACTGTCGAAACAAATAAAACATAATTAAAACGGAGCAGTTTACGTCAAAACGATTAACAGTGTCGCACGCGATTAGCGGAACACCTCAAGCGGAATATGACGCATATTGGCCACTCCAGCAAAATCAACGCCGCGTAGCGGCAACACCGAGAAGCTAAGGAGAGGAGGTCGTTTCCACTCTGTCGTCTGCTATCGCTGCTTGGTTCTCGTAGACAGCATAGAAACAAACATTGTTTCCAGTAATTATTTTTATGCTTCCGCCGTGTCATTCCTACGTACTGACTAGAAGAAGGTTTCTACCGTCGAAAAATCGCTTTGCTTTCACATGTAACACCGATCTTACGCTGCAGTGAAAAAATTTATGGTGGTCAGAGTGCTGAAAGACGAAAACGACCTCCTTTCGTCCGCCATACTGCCTGACTGGCGCGCCCCTATAGTTTGCTGGTGTCGCGAATATGCCGACTGTTTGAGCTAGTGAGCCCTTGAAACATAAGACATATCGGGGAAAAGCAG